GTTTATTTTGAACTTCGTCTTCCACCCGCACAGTTTTCTTGAAAGTATCAAATTTTTACTGAAGTGGATCAATTTTTGATTTGCTTTTTGGTACCAATTCGTTGCCATTGGATATTTTTAAGTTAACAGTGCTTAGACTTTCAAAATCAAAGTCAAAGTCGCAAAATTAATGTCAGAGTATGAACGTCGAATGAAAATGAAAGTCAAAGTCTTCTAAGTCAATCTCAAAGCCAAAATCAAATAGCAGCTCAAAGTCAAATTATAAGATGCACCTTAGCACAACATTATCAAATAATAATTAACAGATATTGATTATTATTTGATAATTAATAGTTATTAATTATTATTTGATAATATATTGTTATGAAGAAAAAACCGTTTGAGAAACTGATGATTATTAAATACACTTGTAATGTGTAATAATTTACAAGAGACAGGAGAACTATTTGCATGTAACTAAGTAAAAAAAAAAGCTGAAACTGATCATATATGCAAACTTTACTACATCACCGATTGTTGCGCTTGACAGATAGAGAGCTGGCAAGCGGTTGTCACGTTTGATTTATGACCGCGAAAGTATATATACGGCTTCCGAGTATAAGCTTTAGGTATCATCTTCTTTTGATCCACTTGAGTAACTTTATCTACTGAATTTTTATTTGACAAAATCTAGATTACAGGTAGTAGGGATTTCTGTGGGAAACATTGATACATGCGCGTATAGAAAAAAATAGTATAAATGATAACCGAATTTCTATTTTATATAGAAATATTTCAATTTTACATATAGTCTATAATAGCCACTTTTTCGTGCTGCTTTTTTCAATTTTATTCTAAAATGTTTGTAACGACGTTTGTTTGTTTACAAAGCATTAAACAAATTTTATTTATCTTTTCTGTACGTGTCAGGTTTATATTAAATAATATACAGGAGAAGTTGTAAATATCATTATAAAAGTTTGTTTATTTACAAAAAGATGAAAAAAATTATGTTTGTATTCGTTGTGTAAATTTTAAAACACAATGTTGACAATTAATAAAGATCACTAAAAATTCACCAAAAAAAAAAATCTGTATAATTTGATTCTTATTTTCTTTTCCAATTTATCTTAATACTTTTAATTAAATAACAATGAGGAATTATGGATAAAATTTTAATTTTAATTATTATTTTCATTATATAATTAATAATAGAAGGAAGATAGGAACCTAACAAAGCTGTATAAAAAATTATCTATCTAGGACAGCAATATTAACAATATTGGAATGCAGTATCGAGACAATATTGTGCTTGCTAAATATTTTACTGTCAAGGGGATAGCACTTTTGGATTGCAATATTAACAAAATATTGTGCTCTAATGTTGTGCTATCTGGGACAGCAGAATTAACTATGACAATATTAACAACATTCGCATAGAATATTCACACAATATTCAACTCAAATGCTGTTATCTAGGATAAAAGATATTACCTGACAACACTAAAAATATTGGCATGCAATATTAACACAATATTGTGTTCAAATGTATTGTCCCAGTTGGGATAGGAATATCAGTATGCGATATTGATACAATATTGTACTCAAATAGTTTGCTATCTGGGACAACAATATTTCCTGGAAATATTGCATCAATGTGGATATGATAAATATTGCAAAAATCTTGCCAGATAATATTGTCAATATTGTGCTCCAGTGGTGTTCTATATCTGGGACAACAATATTACCTAGAAATGTTTCTTTAAGGTGATAAAACATAATAAATATTTCGGAAATTTTACCAGATAATGTTTGCATTATTGACATGCAATATTGATACAATATTGAGCTAAAATCTGGGACAGCAGTATTAACTGAGGCAATATTGCCAAACTAATAGTACTTACAATGTTGAGCTCAAATGTTATGCTAGCTGGGACAACAAATATTACCTGGAAATATTGTATCATTGTAGGCATATTAAATATTGCGGAAATATTACATGAAGGTATTAGCGGATTGATACATATATAATATTATGTTCAAGTGATGTGTTATTTGGGATAGCAATATTTTCTGTTAATAATAACAACACTGTCTTGTAATATTTACACAATCTTATGTTATGCTATCTGGGATATATCAGTATTGGCATGCAGTATTGACAGAATATTGTGCTAAAACATTTTGCTATCTGGGACAACAATATTAACTAATATTATCTATTATTGGATAGTAAAATTTCCGCGGAAATATTTAAAGATAATATTAGTAATATTGGCACCACATTATATGCTCCAGTGTTATGTTATCTGGGACAACAATATTTTCTGGCTATGTTAACAATATTAAAGCAATTTTGTGCTGTCTGGGACAGAAGTATTGGTATGCAATATTGACAGAATATTGTGCTATCTGGGACAACAATATTACCTAAAAGTATACTGTATCAAGTTATACCTAATATATAGCAATATTTTCTGGCTATGTTAAGAAGATTGGCATGTAATGTTCCTACCATATTGTCTCTAAATATTGTGCTATCTGGGATAGTATAATATTACCTGCGGTAATATTTTGTGTTCATTTTGTACTATCTGGGACAGCAGGATTGACATGCAATATTGATACAATATTGTGCTAAAATATTTTGCTATATAGGACAAAAATATTACAAAAGAGTATTGCATAATAATATTTAATAATAAATATTGCGGGAAGATTGCAAGATAATATCAATATTGCCATGCAACATTGACATAATATTATGCTAAAGTGCCGTGTTATTTGGGATAACAATATATTTTCTAATATAATAGCATTGGCATGTAATATTCGCACAATATTGTCTTTAAATGCTGTGTGCCATCTGGGATAGCATAGTATTACTTGCGGTAACATAAACAATATTGACAAACTTTGTGCTATCTGGGACAGCAATACTAACATATAGGGACAGGAAGTTTATGCTTTTCGACAAGACAATTTATGCTTTTCAAAAACTTGTAATTATGCTGTAATTATGCTTCAAAAACTAATAATTATACTAGAATTATGCTCTTAAAAGTGTAAACTTATTCTTTAATTATGCTTTGTCCTTAAGAAATTTAAACTTACGCTCAATATTAATAAATAAGTAAATTTAATAAATTTTAAATTGAACCATTGAAATAAGAAAGTGTAAAAAATTTTACATATCATTTAATAGGTATAATACACTCCAACCCAAAAACTCCGCTAAACCGGCGTTGAAGTGTATTAGAAAGAGGATTGCATAACAGTGGGAAATATTTAGAAAATGTAAAATTGTAAATTGTAATCAATTAAAACAGTCTAATACTTTTATAGGGACAAATTGAATTCAGTGCTTTTATTGCTGGAATACTCTCGAAAATTGAATCAGTGAAATTTCACTGAAGATCAGTTAAAAATGATTGAAATTTTAATTATATTTTTCATTCATTGGCCAATTTAAAAAAAACTGAAATTTTCAATATGCGTGACAGAAATTTCCAGTAATTTTTTAAATGCGTCCAATCAGTGAAAAATGACTAATATTTCATTAATTTTCAGTGAAACTTTACGGAATCAAATCGCGAAAGTAGAATCACTGATTCTCAGTCTCATTTCACAGATTTTTATTTTGTGGAATTTCACTGTTTCAGATTTAGAGAATTATTACCGACAGTTTCTAATGTTGATTGTGATTTTGTTTGTCAGTGATTTATGGGACGTACATTTATAAATTTAACAATTTTTAACAAATAAATTGAGCCGCAGCGTACAATAATAACAGCTACGCTTGGACTGTCTTCGAATGCCAGTCTCCCTATTGGCCAGATCTAGTCCCCACCGCCGATTTCGAAGTAGATATTCCGATTCGGAAAGACAGCCCGAGCGTAGCTGCTGTTATTTCACGCTGCGGCTCAATTATTATTTAAAAACACAATATTACAAAAATGCTGCAATATTAACATTGGATTTACATATGATCATGGATTTACTTTAAACAAAAATTACATCTAAACTAAAATTTCTGAATCCAAACAACCGAAACATCATAAATATGCTGTAATATTATTTGAACAATATCGTGGATTTATTAACAAAAAATTTTTTTTTAATAAAAATTATGAACCGAGTTGCATAATTATGCGGCATATATATGCTTAGAATGGATTATATGCGGCTTTTGCGGACTAAATTATGCTTTTCAATGCTTTTGCAAATTGCAATTATTTATGATGAATAATACTTTTTAATGCGAATCTTAACACTAGAGAAAATTTTAAAAAATTTATGCTTTTATGCTCAAGGATAAAGTTCCTGTCTCTAGACATAATATTGTACTAAAATATTTTGTTATATGGGACAACAATACCTAAAAATATTGCATCAAGGAAGATCTAATAATAAATATTGCGGAAACATTACAAGATTTTATAGTAATATTGCCATGCAATATTTTGACAAAATTCTATGTTAATCTTGCATTCAGATGGACATAATAAATATTGCGGAAATACTGCCGTATATTATTGTCCTGTCCGGGAACTTTATTTTTTTTTCCAATATCGAAAACTCTGTATCAAATAGCACAATATTTGAGGACATCATTGTATGAATATTGCTTTGCAATGTTGCTAATATTGTCCTGCAATATTGTCTGGCATATTGCTTGGTAATATTGCTAATATTGTTTGGCAATATTGCTGATGTTGCCTGGAAATATTGTCGCAATATTCCCAAATAAATATTGAGTCAAAATATTGTTTTTAATTCAAAACTCTCTTGTTCTGATTCGACAACTGTTTTTTAAACCGTATACAGTTCCCCTAAAGTTTTCCAGTTTCCACAAAAAATGACTTTTGATCTTATTCCAACGTTCCACAAACACAGACTTAATTGTACTATATCAATAAAGAAACGTTGGATTTATCAAAAGTAAATAACGCTTGTAATGCTTCAAGACGAGAATATACTTAATCTTATCACTACAATAGCAATCGCAGAGTACTCACCAACAGGTTTGGGACAATTCCTCTTGACCTGCATCCACTTATATGTCGGTACATGACTCTGGTGTTGTTGTTGCGTCTGGGAATGATGGGAATGCTGTTGCTGCTGCTGATGTTGATGATGATGATTTGCATGACCATGAGAATGAAGATTATGTCCAGACTGTTGTAAATTATGATAACCCGGATCAGGACTCTCCTCCTTGTAATGTCCCGTCGGATGAGGAGCATATTCAGTCTGATGTCTAATACCAACTTGTCCATAATGTAGCGGCTCATCCGTGGGTGGAATCTGATGGAGATAATTAGACGAACCAAGGGGGATTTGATAGTCCTGCTCATGGTGATGATGACTAGATTGGTGATGATGAATTTGCTCGTGTTCGGCTCTCACTTGCGTGACCACTGGTCCCTGATGAATCGACGGATGTCGATGATGATGAGAATGATCGTCACGGTAAGTGGTGACTGGGACATGATAGGAATGTGGATCCGTGGGATGACAATTGGGATGCTGTGTCGAATAGGAGGAGGATGGCGCGTAGTCTAAAATTGTGTAACTTAATCCATTTTCCGATGAGATAATTGCCGTTCCGTCTTCGTGTAAAACGGCTCCGGTTTGGGAATAAAAACTCTGTGGCGGGGTACTTGAGGCTCCGGAATCAGAGGCTAGAAATGCATCCGATGATGCTGAGGAATAGGGACCAATGTCCGATTGTGGATAATGATGAGTTGGTGGTAATTCTGGGGAAGAAGAAACGGACAATTGACCACTGTTTGTTTGGCAGAAACCATAATTTGGATAAGTGTCTGGCTTACCGTATGTTCCGTACATGCCCATGTCCATCATCATCATACTCACGATTGGATTTCAAAATTTTCACTCTTTTTTTTGGGTTAAAGGAGAAATTTAAAATTTAATAAGGGTTTTTAAAAAAACAAGTCAAGAAGCACTTGTCATGTCTGTAACTACACGGACACTTGAAGGCGCCAGGATTGGTAATAAACGATTGGTAGTCAATATTATCAAAGCTTCACGTGCGACGTGACATTGTTTCTTTTCTTATCAGACTCGATAAGATTTGACATTGTTTCATGATGCACAAGCCATATACAATATATATGGAATAAAATTTCTTTTTCTCTATCTCACATTCACAGAAAAAAATATAATTCACACACGAGGAACGCACGAAAATTTTGATCCTACCAACGGGGATTTTGAGAGTGTACTGCTGGCCGCGCGGAGGCGGCCGGTCAAGCGAGATTACGCGCAGGTGACGCAGGTGAGACTGACCAGAGTTCTGCGCCTGGCTCGGTAAAGGCTGCAGGACTCCCCCTGCCGCAGGAAAGGATCGTTGGGTGCCAGGTTCTTTCTCCTTTTGGAGGCAGGACGAGAGGTGGAGTTTCTTGGGGTCATGTGATATAAATTGGGTGGAGTCAGCCAATGAGGTGTGAGTCTGCGCTACGTTGCTCATGTCAACATGATGGATCGGTGGCTGGATTCTATTTTCACTTCTTTTATCTCCCGTGCTGCAGTTGACACTTATCCTATATACTCATATATAATATCGGCATCACCTTCCAATCACCCAGCCATATTTTCGACCCTCCATACCTCCGGAGTAGTATATAGCAATCCTGGATTTGAAGTGCCACATGCTTGTCACACCTGCCTGGAACCGTTTTAATTACAGATGACATTTGACATTTTAATTAGAGGATCTTTGATTATAACTATATAGACGGTTACGAGGGGAGGATATATTATATTATTTATTCCGATGACAAACGATGGCGTTAAAACTTATGTAAGAAGCAATTAGGTTATATGAAGATGCATTGGAAAATTCTTCTTTAAAATATCTTTTAACTGAATTTTGCAGACGGAGTTCGAGATTTTTTTTCCTTTTGTTTCATTGCAGCGAATTTTGAAAGTTAAAAATTAAGTATATAATTGGCAAAAAGAAATTCTTATAGCTTATTCTTTCGAAGATGCTGCATCTGTGATATTTGTCAATAAAACTGTGATGGGCATCATCAATTCTATATCAATATTTTAGGATTTCCTACATTATTGTAATGCTAAAATTACCAAGCAAAAATATAAATTCCAAATACTGAAGTTATATAACTTAAAAATTAACTAATAGATTAATCCACGTGTTTCCTATTATTCTATATCGCTGAAGAATTATCACTAATATAATATTATATATTTAACAGAGTGGCAAATTTAATCGAATTGATACCAAATTAACTCAAATTTTTGATAGAAAATTTGTTGGAATTGATACCAAATTGAATCAAAATTCATACCAAATTGACTCAAAATTGATATCGAATTAATATAAATTAATTAATATAAAATAAGTTGGAATTATTACCAAATTGAATCGAATTGATACCAAATGGGATCAAGATTGATATCGAATTAGATCAAAATTGATATAAAAATGACTCAAATTGACACAAAATATTATTTTAAATTGTTATCAAATTAATTGAAATTGGTTCAAAATTATAATTGAATTCGATACAAAATTCAATCAAACTTGACACAGAATTATTTCAAAATTACTACCAAATTAACTTAAAAATAAAATTGACAACGAATTGGATCAAAATTGATACCAAGTTTGATCAAAATTATATCTAAATTAATTAACATTGATACAAAATATAAGTTAGAATTGATACCAAACTGACTCAAATTTTTAAAAAAGCTTGCCGGAATTGATACCAAATTGAATCAAATATTGATACCAAATTGACTGAAATTGATACAAAATTAGATACATTTGATACCAAATTCGATCAAAATTAAGACCAAATTGAATTGATTACAAATTCACTCAAATTGCGGACACAAACATATTAATTCATTAAAATTGTGTCAAAAGTATATAGTTAAAATTGATACCATATTCATATCATATTGCGGTACAGAATTAGTTCAAAATTTATACTAAATTAATTAAAACTGATTCCGAATTTGATCAAAATTGGTACCAAGTTGACTCAAATTCATGCAAAATATAAGTTTAGATTAATACCAATTTAACTAAAATTGAAACAAAATTAGCTAGATTTGATACAGAATTCGATTAAGATTAATACCAAATTTACTTAAATTGTTACAAAATATTAGATTAAATTGATATCAAATTTACTAAAATTGAGACAAAATTAGTTGGAAAATTGATACCAAATTGAATCAAATTTGATACCGAGTTAGTTTATAATTTATACCAAATTGAATCAAAATTGCTACCGAATTGTATCAATATCGATACCAAATTGACTCGAATTGGAACAAAATTATCAAGATTTGATACCAAATTCGATCAAAATTAAGAGAAAATTGAATAAAGTTGATACAAAATTGCTACCAAATTAGATCAATATTGATACCAAATTGACTCGAATTGGTTATTTATTTATAATTAAATTATCAAGATATTTGATATAAAACTCGATCAAAATTAAGAGAAAATTGAAAAAAATTTATACCAAAATGTCTCAAATCAATAGAAAATATTATTTCAAATTGATATTGAATTGACTCAAATCGATACTAAATTAAATGGCATTGATACCAAATTAAAAGGAATTAAATTAAATTATTAAAACAAATTGATATATACCGAATGATTTGATAACAAACTGAATTAAATTGATAACAGAATGAATGAAATTGATATACCAAATTTCGAAGAAATTAATAACAAAGTAGTTCAAATTGATACCAAATTGCATAAAATTGCATGTACCGCATTGACACGAAACTGGAAAAAATTTTGGTACCAAAGAAAAATTGGTAGCAAAGAATTATTACGAAATTGAATGAAATTGACACCAAATTGGATCAAATTGGTGTCAACTTACTTAATTAAGTAAAATTGGTACCAAAATTTGAATAAAATTACGATTTGATCCGATTTGTTGGTATTAAGTCGTTATTATTGTGATTTTTATAAAACAAAATAGTGACAATATTCTGGAAACTCCGACTTTATTTTAGAAGTGAATTTTTGTGAATAACAAAATATTTTAGCTATGTTTTCAATAGAGTATAGATAAATATGTAATAAAAAAGAAATTATAATAAAATAAATAATCATACACTTCTTCTAAAGATATTAAATTGAGACAAAAAACGAATCAAAAGAGTTGCGAAGCAACTTTTTTATTCGTTTTTTGTCTCAATTTGATATGCTTAGAAAAACTGCGTATGATTTTCAATAATAGTAAATATAAAAATAAATAGTAAATAATAATAATAATAATAATAATAATAATAATAATAATAATAATAATGATAATAATAATAATAATAATAATAATAATAATAATAATAATAAATAACATTAAATATTAGTAACATTTAAAGAACTATAATATAATAAAAAATAATAAACAAAAAATAGAAATAAATAAGTTTAATTACAACCAAACGAGAACGTTGTAGCGAGTGAGGTATCCGTCGCTAATAAATAATAATAACCTTTAAAGAAATAGGTCGAATATTTTCAAAACATCATTTTCCAATTTGGAATAATTCAAAGAATTTATCAGCGTGAACTCATTAAAATATTCAAAAGACAATCGAGAGAGAAGAAAAGGAAATATTCAAAGAGAGAGAAAGAGAGATAGAGAGAGGAAAAGAGTTGTAGATATTTAGGGAATATTTGAGAATGAGAGAGAAGAGAGAAAAAAGAGAGAGATGACCCGTCGAGAGATATAGTCAAGATTGCCCCAGGGCCCCGATCTTGAGACCGACATATCGGTCGGTCGAAGGACGTGTGATGGGTCCATGGGATGCTGCTCCAAGTTTTAAGTTCACTGACAGAATGACACATTCCACATCGTGAGAGTTTGGGAGCGTATATAGCGTCCCTCTCGTATCAGTACAATTCAGTCAGAAGAACTTATATCGAGAGCGCCACCTGCGGCCACCCGCGACATCAGTCCGTCCATCTTCAGCATCAACCCTTTTGATCTTGATCTTGATCGAGGTCTTCTGATATATACATATACAATTTTATACTTCTCGGCTTCTTTCCTTTACAAACTATCACATTGTCACTTTTTTATTATTATTATTTGCATTTATTATTATTATTATTATTATTATTATTATTATTATTATTATTATTATTATTATTATTATTATTATTATTATTATTATTATTATTATTATTATTATTATTATTATTATTATTATTATTATTATTATTATTATTATTACAATCGGCTTCTTTCCTTTACAAACGAATTATTTTAATTTTTATTATTATTATATTATTATTTGTACTATTATTTACATTACAATCGGCTTCTTTTCTTTACAAACTATCGTATTTTCCCATTTTTATTGTTGTTATTATTATTATTATTATTATTATTATTTTTTGTTCTATTATTATTACTAATTACAGTCGGATTCTTTCTTTAATAAACTATCACATTGTCACATTTTTTTGTTATTATTATTGTTTTTGTACTATTATTAACACTACTCACAGGAAACTTAGCTGCAGTGGAGTGAAGAAGTCGACAATGGGAGCGAGAGAGAAGTTTTGGTTCTTCCTTCTCGCTCCCATTATCCCCACTTTGGCTCTTGAGTTCCCCTTCTCCTGGGCAACAACCAATCTTGTCTTTAAACAGGACTGATCGATATTTTTCTGAAAATGTAAATTTCTCAACAGGAAAACCATTTTTTGTTCTAATATTAATTGCTAAAATTCTAGGCTTCACACTCATCTACTAAAACCTATACTATTTACTACTTTTTTTAAGTTATGCTACTATTTGGGTATTTTTTTAGATTTCAGACACTAAAAGCTACTATTTCGGTTTTTTTTTTTTTTTTTTTTTTTTTTTTGAGAATTTCAACTATACTTTAAATTCGCTAATACTATAGAAATCAAAAAACTATTCTCAAAAATATTATAGAATCAAATTTCTTCAAAACGATTCAATTATTTTCAAAAAATATTCGAAATTCAATTATTTTCAATATCTAGTATTTTAATGATATTTCACAAAAGAATTCAAGTTTAAAAAAAAATGATAAAATTCATTCAAAATTCAATTATTTTCATACAATTAATAAAATTTCCCCATGAATTCGATTAATTTAGAATAGCATTTTCAAAAAAATTTCGAAAAATCAATTATTTAACCAAATTTTTAAATAATTTTTCAGAATAATTCAATTACTTTCACTAATAATAAGATTTTTCATGGAAATTCAATGTTTTAAAAAATTTTTAATAAAATTCTAAGCAAGAATTCAATTATTTTTAAAAATCATAAAAACTCATCGAAGAATTTCAATTATTTTTAATACCTACTATTTTAAAATTAATTAATCGAAAAATGAAATTAATTTCACAAATA